TCTAAGGCTAAATTATCTTAGGAGGTCTTAATTAAAATAATTACTAATAGTTCTATTATTAAGATAACTTCTATTCTATTAAAATATTTTATTCCTTAATAATTAAGCCGGATAAGACGATTGCCTAAATAATATAGTTTTCTTATAGAACTTACCGAGATTATATTAATTCTAAAAATAAAACCGAAATAAATAAAATAACTAAAGCGAATTATTATAAAACTAGACGTTCTATAAGATAATAATAATACTAATAAAGGATTAGATAATAATAATAATTAAAATAAAGAGAGATTTATAAAATTAAGAGTTATTATAAAATAAAGTACTTTTTTTATTTATAATAATAAGTCTTTATATATTAAGAACGTTATTATTCCCTAGTCTTATAATAAAGCGATAAATTCTTAATTTTTAGATTATTAATAAATAGCGATAGAAGATTAGTTTAATAATATTTATATAAAAAAAACTTTTAATATTATTTATAAGTCGCTAAGGATAGTATCTTTACTAAATTAATAGATTTTTAATCTTAAAATAACTAAAGATAATTTTATTTATAGTTTTAAAATATATTAGGTAGTTTATAGTAACTACTAATAAAAAAAAGAGGATTTAATCTTTTATATTCTAGTTATTTAGAACGTTCTTATAAAGATTATCTTTATACTTATTATATAAAAAGGTTATAAATAGCGTTAATTTAATATAATAATTATATATCTTAATATTTCTTATAAAAATTAGGAAATAGTCTATATTATTTAACTAATAGATTTTAAATACTCTAAACCTAATATCGGAAGTAAAGATTAGATTTATTAATTATAGTAGATATTATTTAGTCTTTATAATTTAATAGCTTTATAGAATAAAAAACTTAATAGAAGATTAATTAAGATTAGATTTTATACTTTTAATAATAATCTATATATTTATATTAAGATATATAATAATTTAATATAATTTCTTCTTATTTATATTAATAATTTTATTAATATAGCTCTAATTAATAAAGAGATTAAGATAATTTTTTAGTAAATAAAAGATTAGTTTAAGATTAAAAATATAAGAAAATTATCCTATTTTCTTAATAATACTATTATCCGGAATTATAATAAAAAAATAATTTAGATAATATAATAAATATACTATCTAGAAATACTTCGCTTAATAAAGATATAAATATATTTTCTAATTTTAATTTTACTTTCTCTAAATTATAAATAGGATAATAATAATAAAGATCCTAATACTCTTTTAGATTAAAAAGAATATATTTTATTCCGATCTTTAATTAGTAGACTTAATTAATTAATAATTAAAACTAGGCCTAATATTAAATTTAATATTATAAAATTATAATATTATTCTACTTCTTTAATTATTAATAATTTATAAATAGTTCGTACTATTTATAAATATCTTAATAATATAATATATCTTAATATTATATTAAGAGGGGTAGATAATATTTTATTCTTTATATATACTAATATTTTATATAATAATTAATATAATTTAAAATTAATAAAGAATATTATTTAGTTTTTTAGTAGCGTATTTATTATTTAGTACTTAAAAAAATAGAATATTATAACTCTATTATCGATAGCTATAAAATAATATACTCTAGATCGACTTACTAGGGATACTTAGTAGATTTTAAAGATTATTAAGATACTTAATCTTCCTAAGATAAATAATCTAATTATTATTTTAATAGATAATATTAATATATAATTACTAATAAATAAGAAATTATATAAGAATAGTATATATTAGCTTAATATAAAATAGTTTTTTATTAAAGACGCTATTTTCTAGAAGAAGATTAATTTATAGCGCGTTAAAATAAAAAGTAATGTCGCTAACGGGTTTATAAAAGCGCTTAATAAAGAAGTATATATAAAGTTTATCTAGATATTAGATCTTAATTAATCTATATACTAAATTTTACGGGTAGATATAGGTTTATATTATATAGGAAATAGTAGAAAATAAGAAAACAAAATAGAGAGTTTTTTATTAGTAGAGATAAAGAGATATAGTAATAGTCTTCGTCCTAAAGGGGGTATTAGAGTTACGTAACGGCTATATAGGGCCGTAGGTAATCCTAACCCATAGAACTTAGGATATTGTTAGATAGTAGCTAGTTTTTCTTCTCTTCTTTTCTTTCTCTCTAGAGTCTACAAATCTAATCCTTTAAGGTTAACATTCATTCCTACATAGCCTACATTCCATCTGACATTTCCGCTTATTTTTAAAAGATTATTATAATTATAATACTATTTTTATAATTATTAATTAATTAAATAAGAAGTTAATTTTTATTTTTTATTATAAAAATATTAATATTAAATAAATAATTTAATTATTTATTAATAATATAATTTAAATTATAGATATTCTAGAGATTATTATATTAGATTAAAAAAGATAATTTATTTTAGAATTTTAGACTAAATTCTATTAAATATTTAAAATTAAAAAGAAATTATTAACTATTTATTATTTTTAGATTAATAAATAAAATAAAATTATAAATTAATATATAGTCTAGAGATTATAATTATGTATTAAATAAAATTAAAATAACTAATTAAAGATTTTATTAATAATAGATTTTATAATATTAATTTTTTTATAGAATATTATAAAATAGTTATTACTTTTTATTAAAAGAGATTATAAACTAGTTATATTTTTTAATTAAAGAGACTAAAGTAATCTAATAAATAATAAATAAGATATAATTAATATATTATTATAATTTTAAAATATTTAGATAAAAATAAAAGATTAGATTATAAAATCTTAATAATAAATAATTTAATAAATAAATAAATATTAAAAAAAGGAGGATTTTAATATTAATAATTAGATTTTTATTATAATAAAGAATTAATAGCTTAACTACCTAAATTAAAAGCTTTTTTATTTTATTAATAGATCTTATAAAATTATTAAAAAGATTAGAAACGCTTATAAACTTAATCTTTTAGAATCTATTAAAGTTTATCTAGTATTTAATCTTAGTAAGCTTCGGAAAGCCTTATTATTAAAACTATTATATAAATAATATCTAGATCTACTACTATTAATTAGGATATCTAAAGAAGATAAATAAAAGGTAGATAAGATTATTAATTTATATCTTTACTACCGGAAGTTATAATACTAAATTTAATAGCTTAGCTATAACCTTAACCTATAGTAGTATCCTATAGAGAATTTTAAATATATATCTTAGAAAATTTAGGAATTCTATAATTGCGGAGCGAAGCGGAGCAACCAGTATCATAAGGGGGTCGCACGTCACGTGACCTAGATCTCAACCACTGGGTCGAAATCCATAAGATATCTAGATGTCTAGGCGGTAAAAAATTGATCGCTAAGAACCGGTAGAATCCTATCCGGCAGAATAGACATTACGTAATGGCCTCGCACGTCACGTGATATATACTAATCTAGACTAAATTGAATAGCGGTCACGTGGTACCTATAGGATAGATAGCCTTAGGCATCTACTATATCCCTAACTATATAGTTAGCTAGGTAGATACTAAACTAGGTGGTAAACTGGCTACTAAACTACGTGCTAATTAACTAGGTGCTAAACTAGGTGCTAACCTAGGTGCTAACCTAAGGCCATCCAGATCTCTAGCCTGTAGTAGCGGCCAGAGTAAGCGTGCGGGAATGGTAGAGGCTGAGAGATAAGAATAGATGATATATAGAGGAGAGAGTTATTAACTAGGCGGCCTGATACCTCTATTCCGGGCGGCCTTCGGCCGCCCCTCCCCCCGGGAGGGGTCCCCCGGAAGGGCCCCCGGAGGGGATCGCTTACTATTACTACTAAGCGCTTCCCTCCGCGAGGACTATCGAGAGGCGTAATGCCATCGAGATCCCTATTGCAGCTTCACGTTCATCTTCTGCTAAATCCCTTGCTTGTTGGGCCTGTTCTTCAACTTCTAAAACCTTGGCATGCTTTGCTTGTTGCCGATCGAGCTTTTTAGAATCCGATTCCTGCCTTTTCTTCATCATCCGGTTTGCACTGGTAGGGCCAAGTACTGAGCGCCTAGATCCAAGAATTGATTTCCGATTTCTTAGGGTAGTAGCAGCTGCTTTATGCTCCTAAGACTTCTTTAAAGAGGCCTTTACTAGATCAAGCTCTTGGACCAAAAGTGCATTTGCATCCATGCTACGCTGGATATAGCTCTTTATCCTTTGAGAATAATGCTCCAGCTGATCCATATCGGTAATAAGCTTAGTATTAAGCCTATTATGGACGAGATGAACCCCATGATCCTGCTCAAGTGAGAGTCGCTAATGCCACGTAGCAGATGGCCAACGCCACCATTATAAGCTCACCGCCGTATTTGCAATACAATTTAAGGCATAAAGGTATCAGCTTTTCTGCCGGCCGCATGACACTACGGCCCAAAATTGAATTTAAATCTTTTTTTAATATCCTTCTGGAATAATAAACATATGACATTCAAGAAACACGTGTTAAAATATGATTAATCGTTACCAAAGAATGGAGATATCCGGGCGCTCCGCAATAGACGCATTTTTTTGATATATTTTGGTGGGGTTTGGTGTGTCGCACGTCGACCGCCTCGCCTGACCGCCCATTGTGAATTACACCGCCTTGTTACCGGCTTATATTACAAATACAGCAGAACTTCCCAAAATGGCTTATCATGGTGGTGTTAGCCATTTGCTAACTAGGTGGCATTAGCAACTGTCTGCTCAAGTTGTAGATGCCATATTAATCAGGCGCCAAGGCAAAACTTCCTCTTCGGGAATTGCAATGTTGAATGGCAATCCCCCACTACAATACATGTATATGCTGCCGCACAGAATATCTTGTTACTCCATCTTCACTGCGTCTGTCTCATTGTTATCCATGGCAGAATGGCCACTGCAACAAGTGGAATCGTATTGCGTAGTAGGAATTTGGCCTGAGATCACTTCTGTGCCAGTTTCATATGTTAAATTGCATGGGGCTTAGGAATATTGCGAGGGACGTAATCGAGGTCATTGTGGATTGCATCTGCCACAACGGGAAACTCATCATACGTGTATTCTTGACAGTCGTGGTCCAAGATCCAACTGAGTCGTGGAGGGGATAAAATGCCAGGGTCCTTACGTAATGCCTCCCCATCGAATCCTTTGAACACAAAATCCTGGATCTTGGATGTGCCCAGTTGAACGAGCGAGGCACGCTGATGCCTGAATGGAATAAGCCATTGTCTCTGCTTTCTGGTGCACACTTGACTTACCGAATCTTCTCCGCAGCAAGGAGGGCCAACGGTATATCCCTTTTCCCGGCCAGTTCGAGGGTGATGGCTACGACGGCTCCATCCTCAATCGCCTGGCTTCCTCCTTGGCCACTCGAAGGCAGTGTTGGGTGGGCAGCATCGCCGATTAACATCATCCGTCGCTGGGGAGAGAGCCATGTCTTCAGGGGCTTCCGCCTCATCATCTTCTGATCAATGAACTGTCCAAGTGAAACCTTGTGAATGACTGCCTCGAGCCGCTTTCGGATGGGCCAATCTTTGATGCATTCTAGGATATTATTAATATTATCCACCGTACCAGACCAGTTATCCTCGGCATTAAAGGCATCCTGGCTAGCAATTAGCAGAGTAGTGGCGGCAAGGGATCGCACGTATGTACTTTATGCTGACAATAGAAAAGCAGCTCTTTGCCTTGCCTCAAGGTCCATATCAGAAGAGAAACCCCGTTTCCAATCCACCAGCGACTTCGATCGGCGTCTCCGGTGTTTTCGAGGATCCACTGCGTGTCAGGGTCTTCTGCGATCTTCTCAGTGCTCATGTAGCCGCGAAACGTAGAGTATCCAGTCTCCTGCGACTCGAGCATCTGTCCAGTGACGATGGCTCTCCCTTGACTGTGTACACCTTCTGCGCATAGGACGCAGTCCCCTCGATTCTTTCTCCGTCGACAATCACTCCGGCTTCGTCCTCGGTCTCCCAGTAGTCGGTAACGAGACATCCCAGACGCACCGTGATTCCCAGGGCACGGCAATGGTCGTAGATTGCCGCAACCAGTGCTCCTCGGTTGATCGTATACCCGGCCGCTTTGGTATAGCCCTCTAACTCGTTCCTGGCGAGGAAGCGCCCGGTATAGTCCATTATATCTATGCTCTCCGCTTGGGCTCGCAGTAGCTGGAGAGTATCATGAAATGTACCATTTTCCCATTGTGCTGTCACTCGAGCCGCGTTTGCTCCAATGGATATAGCATCCCCCCCTAGCTCCTGAATGTAAGCAGAATCCTTCCTTTTTCCATACCATGGGGATTATACTTGCCTAATCGATGGACCACCGGGATGCGCTCCAGGACTAGCACTGAATGCCCTTTTCGATGGCATTCAATTGCCGCACTTAAGCCTGCGATCCCAAGGCCAACCACGATCACTTTGATCCCAGAGGAGTTGGGATCAAGCACTCTATCCGGACCGGCATCGTTCGAGATGGTCATTGTAATTAACATCAACTGAACTGGACAAAACAGCCAAGAGTTATCATAAATCCCGATGGCGGTGCTTACGATGTCATGAAAGCAGTGGCAAACTGGATGTGTTCTTTCTCTAGCCAGCTTTATTTATATTGCTTTTTATGGGGCCTTTTGAGTGACAAGTAGACTCCATAGAAGGTCATAAGCATACCCAAGATACAATCCGCGCACAGTGAAACTAGCGGTCAGACTTCCATTTAAGCAGTGTCTTTACTTGGCGTAGTGGCAAGGGGAATGCTATGCGAGACAAATGCACGTCAGGCAAGCTACTACTGCGGGTCTTGGGTTACTTGGCAAGAACCGGGTAACACCGCACCCCCACCATCCCCTTGACATGCATGCCAAGGCTGCCGTTTTCATTTCTCCCTTACATAGAAAAGGGATAGAATATGCCACTATGACGATGCTCTTGGCAGCATTCCTCCTCAAGGTCGTTCTCATGATGTTATTTGCTAAGATACCTCAAGGCACTGATGCACAAAGTAGAGCAAGGGACAGTAAGAATTGGTCACTGGGTATGATATTTGAAATCAGCAAGTCCCTGGCCAAATGTGGTCGCCTCAGTCTTGAAGAATACAGTTGGTTTAAATGGATTGCACCATTGTTCAGTATATGTGCTTCTGGTTTACCTCACTCAGCTGCCGCTCCAGCGAGTGAGGTAAACCATCCTCCAAGGTCAAGAATTGAAACAAATTTGATCATCTACTTCAGAAGTTTATGTACAGCAGAATGATCAGCGGTACAACACCACCTGCAGTCAAGCAATTACATGACCAATACTGCGTCACCACCACACCTACTAGTATCGTGGGTCCTGAAGTACCATGGCAAGAATCTTAAAAGCAAGGACAAATTAATTTTTCTAATGGAAATATTGCCTATCCATTATTGCGCAGCAAGGGGAGGGTAAGAAATTGGCCTCTGCTGTCCTACGACCGACTTGGTCAGATTACGAGTCTGTTTATATAGTCGATAAATTTTCTCTGCTCCTCCAAGTCCACTACCCCCCGGCGACCAAAAGAACATATTTACTATATGCTCAGACATATATCTTTGACCTAAGCTACTATGGCCATTCCCACCATGGCCATTCCCGAAGATTCCATTTTCTCAAAAACCCCGACCAGTTCAAACTTGGAACAGCTTCGGATGATCCTTACCATTCTTGCATTGGCATCAACTTGCAGAGGCTCTCTTATCCGATACCTATGTATTCCAACCTTCTCAGCTATGCTATATATGCAAATCAACAACCCACCAGTGGCCATCGAAAATACCTTCCAGTACATGGCTGAGAGTGCTGCACTGTTCAATTTCCTTCACCAGATCAATACCTTGGTAATTACTGGGGTTGACGTCAGGGGAGATAACTTGTGCGCCATCCCGAGCCTGTACCATCGACTGAAGTCTGCTCTTTTCTATGCTACCAACTTCAGGGGAATAGGGACGGTACACCAGGCGAAGAATATCCCATCTGTACCAACTGTCTATTACAAGAAGGCTGGGCCTCAGTCCTATACTTGGCGGTTTATAACCAGACAGTTGGTTCTATGTGCCTGGCAGTATCTTTTTGTGGATGTTGGATGTTCTCTTTGGCATCAACTCTCCGAGCACGAAAGGCTGAATCGGTACAGGTCTGGCCAAGAATGGGTTATATTCAATGCAACAGGGGAAGAAAGGCGAGTACGTTTACTCGCCACTGTTGTATTCTGGGGAACAGTGAGAAATTTAGTAGACGTCCCTCACAGGCTTGGTTCTGCAATTCTTACTGGTCTCGGTGTGACGTCGCCTCATGAATGGCCGCCGATGTGTGGCAGTATATTTGAGGTTTATACGCTCCGCAATTTTTGGGGGTAAGATTGGATTCATTTAACATGCAGGCTTGGAATCCGTTACAACTGCACCTTTCCAAACTCTGCTAATATATGGCTATCTAGGAAGTGGTGGCATCAACAACTCAGATGGCCACTAACCAGCTATTCAAACCTCATAACTCGGCGAATTTTAAACCTGTCGCGTCCATCGCTTATGGAACGCTATCTAAATAACACTATTGTTCATATGCTGTCAGCAGCACTACACGTGACCGGACACTGGGCGGCTCGCATCTATGACGGGAATATTGGATGCTTCTCATTTTACATGTCGTTCATACTCGGGTACATGGTTGAAGACGTTGTCCAAGACTCTTGGAAATGGTTGAAGAGTGTGACTATAGGGGTGAGGCGCCCATCCGTGATAATGCTACTTGTGGAGAGCATTATAGGTACTCTGTGGGTGATGACGTTTCTAGCGGTTACTACTGCTTGGTGGATTTATCCTCTTCTCCGCCAGCAGCCATTTGCCTTCCCTTACAGCTTCGTGGATGCATATGGAATGGAAAATGTTTTGGTAGTGATTGTTGTTGGCGCGGTGATTCTAAAAACGCAATTTGAAGCTAGTCCATAGACCTTCTAACCTCATGGTGTTGGTCATCTATATTGTCACTAAGGTTGACACTCATAAATCGCTCCGCAATTTCCATTACCCTGAGTAGCATTTAAACGCACTTGGTCTCTTCCCATTGTATACTAAGGCGAAGCAAGTCGTGGGACTTCAACTAGGGAGGCTCGGCAGATGTGTTAAAAGTCAATGTTGGGTGCCTGGGTGCCCCGGGCACCAATAGACCCACATGGGACAGATCCTCATCATGTAGATAGTGACAGAAATCTGACGTATTGAAATGTATGCACCTCAGGGCTGATATGGAGAACTCTGCATTTTCTACATAATAGAAACTGCTGTTTCTGTGCGGTTATTACTAAACATGATTACATAATCTTCCATGGTATCATCCCATGTATGCAACCTTGCAATTTGACACACCCCCCAGCTCTTAAAGCCTGCATTTTCTTGGCTTTCAGAGCTGCCAATCCTTCATTTTTCTCTCTCTTCTAGATAAATCAGATGCCTGATTTCTCTCATCCCAATTATCTCTCGGAAGAGATGCTGCTTCTGCTTCGGAAGCGCTTTTATAAGGCTATCTATAGGCATCGCTGCAGTTAGAACCTAGTTGTCAGATGGAATGCAGGCTATGCAGGAATGAATGTTAACCTCAAAGGATTAGAATTGTAGACTCTGGAGAGAAAGAAAAGAAGAGAAGAAAAAAACTAGCTACTGTCTAACAATATCCTGAGTTCTGTGGGTCAGGATCACCTACGGCCCCACATGGCCGTCACGTGACTCTAACACCCCCTTTAGGATGAAGACTGTCACTATATCTCTTTGTCTCTACTAATAAAAACTCTCTATTTTGTTTTCTCATTTTCCACTACTTCCTATATAATGTAAATCTATATCTACCCGTAAAATTTAGTATATAGATCAATTAAGACCTAATATCTAGATAAACTTTATATATACTTCTTTGTTAAGCGCTTTTATAAACCCGTCGGCGACGTTGCTTTTTATCTCGACGCGTTATAGATTAATTTTCTTCTAGAAAATAGCGTCCTTAACAAAAAACCACTTTATATTAAGCTAACGTATACTATTCTTATATAATTTCTTACTTATTAGTAACTAAGTATTAATATTATCTATTAAAATAATAATTAGATTACCCGCCTTAAGAAGATTAAATATCTTAGTAATCTTTAAAATCTACTAAGTATCCCTAATAGATCGATCTAAAGTATACTACTCTATAGCTATCGACGATAGAGTTATAATACTCTATTTCTTCGAGTACTAAATAATAAGTATACTACCGAAAAACTAAATAGTATCCTCTATCGATTTTAAATTATACTAATTATTATATAAAGTATCGGTATATATAAAAAACGAGATATCGTCTACCCCCTCTAATATTATACTAAGATATATTATATTATTAAGATACCTATAAATAGTACGGACTACTTATAAATCGTTAATAGTTAGAGAAGTAGAACGATATTATAACTTTATAATATTAAATTTAATATTAGGCCTAGTTTTAATTATTAGTTAGTTAAGTCTACTAATTAGAGACTTAAATAAAGTATACCCCTCCTAATCTAGAAGAGCGTCGGGATCCTTATTACTATTATCCTATTTATAATTTAGAGAAAACGGAATCGAGATTAGAGAATATATCTATATCTCTACTAAGTAAAGTACTTCTAGATAATATATTTATTATATTATCCGAATTATTCTTTTATTATAATTCTAGATAATAGTACTACTAAGAAAACGGGATAGTTCTTCTATATCTTTAATCTTAAATTAACTCTTTATCTACTAAAAAATTATCTCGACCTCTCCGTCGGTTAGAGTTATATTAATAAAATTATTAATATAAATAAAAAGAAACTATATTAAACTATTATATATCTTAATATAGATATATAAATTATTATTAAGAGTATAAAACTTAATCTTAATTAGTCTTCTATTAAGTTTCTTATTCTATAAAGCTACTGAATTATAAAGGCTAAATAATAACTACTATAATTAATAAATCTAATCTTTACTTCTAATATTAGGTTTGGAGTATTTAAAATCTACTAGTTAAATAATATAAACTATCTCCTAATCTTTATAAAAAGTATTAAGATATATAGCTACTATATTAAACTAACGCTATTTATAACCTCTCTACTTAATAAGTATAAAGATAATCTTTATAAGAACGTTCTAAATAACTAGAGTATAGAAGATTAAATCCTCCTTCTTCTACTAATAGTTCTTATAAATTACCTAGCGCGCTTTAAAATTATAAATAAGATTATCTTTCGTTACTTTAAGATTAAAAATCTATTAACTCGGTAGAGGTACTACCTCTAGCGGTTTATAAATAATATTAAAAGTCCTTTTCGTATAAATATCGTTAAATTAATCTTTTATCGCTACTTACTAACGGTCTAAAAATCGAGAATTTATCGCCTTATTATAAGACTAAAGAATAATAATATTCTTAATATATAAAGACTTACTAT